AACCTGATCCCACAGAGGGCGGTGATCTCCCTTCTCTCTCCATATGTGGTCAGCCACGCCTTATTTTTCCACTTCCTCTCGTGTTACAGCTTTCTGGTGTTCTTGAAGCCTTACCTTAAGGGGGCGACCTGTCTCCACTTTACATGTCTTTCCGCAGTTGCACGGGATAGCGTACACACAGTCTTTAGTCATGTTATCCTCTATGGGGGGGTCTTACTCGCGGATCCTTTGTATTTTTTTTGATAACCCCTTCACATAAGGCAGGCAGACCGTTTTCTGAATGTTGTTGTCCTTCTCTTGCACCCGCCTATCCCAGTTTTTTGGGGCTGCTGCCATGTACCCAGGGTAGTTGTTACGTTGTAAGGTACTACTTATATTGACCAATTCTTTATCTAATGTCTCTGGGTCGCCACTTATGACTTTTGCTCGGTGTTGTAAGCAGCGGACGATCTCTTTCTTTACGTTGTATGGATGGTGGGAGTTGAAATTGAAGTACTGTCCGGTGAATGTCGGTTTACGGTATACGGATGTCTTGAACCCACGCTCTGTTCGAAATAAAGGGTTCAGTTCGACATTCCAACCACCTGAAGAAGGCCGGAGCGTACAACGGCCGAAACGTTGTAATAAATATGGCGACAAAGATGAGGACAATAGACCGAATAATGTATATAATTTTCATGTTTCTTTTTCCTACAAGTATTCGAATCGAATTACCTCAGACATCTAAGGCATATAGCTACATCACATTGAAACACTGGTTACCTTATGATCTCCGAAGTTTAGAAATGTCGATCGTTCTCAGTACGTAGATGGGTAACCGCTTGTGAATACTAGTTGCTGTAAGCTTGGATATGCGGGTGGTGTAATGGATAATGACTCAGAATTGTTAATTGTTGAGCCGTGTTCCTGTTTTACAATTGCCATGATTGTTCTTGAAAAAAGTGTAAAGTGGTTTGCCGTGTTTCGAACTCAGTATTTCCTATTTCATACAAGGCTAAAGAGCAATGCATACTCTCCTATCTGACTAATACTGACAAGAGGTGTATCCATGCCTTTACCAAGTGTATAATAATGGCATAATCAAGATGTTGACGTTTCACACTACTTCAAACAAAAGGTTAGGAAAAGCCCCGATCAGTACTGGAAAGAGTTTCTGGCCTTGAGAAACCTATTTACTCGAAGAATTGTTTTAATAGAAACCTTTTTAAAATTTTAACCGAAATTAGCACTCGATCAAAGAACGTATATTTCCTTATAAGGAAAGGGCTAAAAAATTAGTGCAGGAGAAAAGGAAATTGAACTGCGACAGAGATAGTTTCGCTCAACCTCGCAAATTGCTATAAACCCTAAATTTTAACCTGAAAAATTGAGTCATTGTTGTATCCTTAAAGAGATTACAAACAGACAACGGTGGTGCTCGAGTGAAGGAACAGAAACACGCGCGTAGATGAAAGAGTGGTTTATTGTAAAAGAGAATACACTTTTGAAAGACAGGGAATCGGGTGGAATGCTAGTAATTCCCAAAGCAAGGATACTTACCTTAACCCCCACCCCCCAGCGTGGCAGAATGTGGCACAGGGCCGTTTTCGCATAGCCTTGTCAGGGTTCCTCTCTACCTTCAGGCAGAGAGTTCGACTAGCATAGCTGTAGACGAATCTCTGACTAATTGCGAAGCAAGGTTATTTACCTTACATCCCCGCGAGGCAGGATGTGGTACATGGCCGATTTTTAATGCGGGGCAAAACCGAACCCGTAGGCTCGGGCAAAAATTCCCTGTAGAACCCGTAAAAACGGGGTCGGGTAGCTGTCTACCACCCCAGATGAGTCTACGCCGAAGGGCAGAGTCTCATCTGGGGTGGTAGGCTCATACTTTATTTACTTTTTGATCTAAGTACTTTGCATAAAATGGCAAAATCAAAGCAGCTAAGTATTCAGTTGAGAGCACAAATTGAAGTATTATTAAAAAAAGTTTACTCTCAAAGACAAATTGCCAAAGAGTTGAAAATTTCTAGACATGGGGTGCAATATTCATTACAAAACCAGTTAAAAACTGGCGTATATGTTGAGAGCACCAAAAGTGACAGATACTGCTGAAGATAAACTCTTGATCATTGAGAACAAAATAAATTGATGAAAAACTGTTCCAGAGTTGACAGTTAAAGATAATTCCTCTCAAAACGTAACCAGTGTGGTTCTTAACTGTGAAAAATCGACTTAGATCAGCGGGGCTCATTGGGTGCATAGCCATCAAGAAACCCGTTACAAAAAGTGGATAATCTGAAAAGAGTGCTATGTGCAAAGAAACACAAGAACTGAACATTGCAAGATTGCCAAAATGTATTGTCTGCAGACGAGTCCAAATTTGAACTTTTTTGGTAGTAAGTGGAGAATGTATGCGAGAAAAAAGACAGGAGAAAGACTGAATAATGAATATCTGGTTCCAACAGTTAAGCATGGTAGTGGGTCTATTGGGGTCTTTCGGAGGAGAGAGAGCTGGAGATTTGATTCAGGTCAAGGGTATCACGAAAAAAATACTCGATTTTGCAAAGACGTGCTATAACACCTGCTTTACGCATAATTGGAAAAAAAGATTCAACTTTCAACTAGACAACGATCCAAAATACTCTTCTAAATTATGTCAAAATGGCATCGAATCAAAAAGAGGAAGAAAATTTTGAAAATTATGACTTGGCCGCCTCAGTCTTCTGACGTCTCTGCCATTGAAGTAGAATTGGATGGATTGGATAGGAGGGTTCGGAGAAAATGCTCAAAGAGTAAGAGTGAGCTTTTTCAGTGCATGAAGAATGTTTAGGAAGCTATACAATCTACTTTCTTTTTCAAAACATGTTGGAAAGAATGTCAAAAATTTGTAAAGCAGTAATTAAGGCAGACTGCGGTTTTATTGACGAAAACAAAATATGATGGTATTTTTTTATAGTTAAGTACTTATTTTTAGTTAAAATAAAAGCAAATACACTGCAATTACTGATGTTTTATCATTTACTTAGAAAATATCTCATTTTAAGTTGATTTTTTAAAAGAAATGCAGGTGCCCCCCAAACATTTTGCCTGTAATCTATCTATCTATCTATCTATCTGTTGTAACCCAGGGAAAGTTACTGAATAGAATAATCAAACGGAGAATGATAATACTTAGGACACGAACAACACATATAAGATTCGCCCGGGGCGCGTTGAAGAAGTAGTCAACTGCACAATGAATCTCCAACTGCATGATATCTACTAACCGCCTCACGTGGTCAGATGTAACACAAGGCCGAATTTAATGTGGGGCATCCAAGACCATAGGCTCGCCCAAAATTTCCCCGTAGACCCCGTATAAAACATGGTCGGGTAGCTCATTCCGGAGACGAGACGCTGCTCTTCGACATAGCCACGGAGGCAGAGAGTTTGATCAGCACAGCTGAAGACGAATCTCCAACTGCAGACCAACATACAGCATTTACTACTGTATTTATGTGAATGGAGACATACCCATTATCCTCTGTAGGTATGCTTCAACCTTATATTTCCCTTAAATATTAATATGTTTCTGTTGAACATAAAGTGGAGGGTCGATTCTCTATTTTTATTAAATAATAAATTGATCCCCCAGTATTATGATATAATGCCAGATTTTATTATAAAAATCATTGTTTTTATAATGAATTGGCATTAACCAAATGATGTTGAGAAAAGTTTCACTATATACTTATATGGGCATAAGATTTCTATAATTTTCATATTTCAATACAGGATCTCTTCTAGGCAGAGAGTTTGATCAGCACAGCTGGAGACGAATCTCCGACTGCAGACCAACATACATTATTTACTACTATATTTATGTGAATGGGGACATACCCATTATCGTCCGTAGGTATGCCACAACACTATCTATAATTGAGAAATACTTAATGAATAGACTATCAACATGTTTTTGTTTTTATATAAGTAATCGAATTTTATTCGATTACTTATATAAGTGTTTGATACTATCCCGAATAATATGACACACATACATACGTGTTGATTGTCACTTCTTTGCGGAAGAAAACCATCTCTTTACTTGGGGGCTTATTTTGTGTTTTTCATTCCAAATTTTATTCTTTCCATCATTTATACCCGAGCTAACGTTTTGATATAGACCCGTAAGTGATCCTTAAGACGAGCTTCACTTTTACAACCTTTCTTACGCACGTGGTAAACATAAAGTTTGCCCGTGTTACCTATATTGGAAACTTGCCAGCCCTTGTGTACAATTATGTGATGTTTGAGTCCCGCAACAGACTTACAAACCTTGTCACAAAACTCGCACACATAACCTGCAGGTCTTTCTGGTACGTTTGCATTCACAGGAGATTGCATGTGAACTCTCTGGTGTGATATCACGTGACTAGCTAAACTAGCCTCCGAAAGGGAGACTTTTCCACAAATACTGCAAGTGAGTTGGTGTCCTAATAGCTCTGGGACATATTCTAGTTCTCCCATCTTTCCTAATGACGCGCTTTTTTTGTTGAGCTGCTCAATTCTATTGTTGCAGCGTTCCCAAATCAAACTTCTCCAGCCAGATCTGTCTCCGGAGACAGTTTTCCATTCTTCAACATTAACATACATACATGCACGCAGATCTACATACACAAACGCACAGTCGTGCATAGTTGCAAACGTCGAAGCATAAAGAGGTATATTCATACGCACATACTCATATTGAGGACAGGGATTGAAACCTAAATATTTCATTTTGGATTTCGACAGTAAATCTATTTGAGTGTACCCAGCTATGCTGAATTCGCATCAGTTTGAATGAAAGACGCCATTAGTAACGTTTTGCAATGTGTCGATCCAACTTTATTGGTAGAATTCTCCGCGGGTTCGAAGCATGGTATTACATATGGCACTTACTTGTTGGAATGGCGACACCTGCGTGACTGTGGTTCGCGGATCACTTCTGGCTCGTCGGAGAACGCATCAACAAGAGATTAAAAGCGCGGGGAAAAAAGTTAATTAGAATATGTAGAGGCGTTGAATTGAATAGAAAAGTATGGAGTTGAAGAAGGGGAGGTAACCGCATTGAATAGAGTCAGCTGCAGGTTTGTGAGAATATAGACTGCAAAGATGCTGGGAGATAGTATGGTGATGGTACGCACTGGAAAGGTGGGTGAAAAAAGTAAGTTGAAAATAAATAAATCAAGAGAAAGAGAGAGAGAGAGAGAGAGAAAGAGAGAGAGAGAAAGAGAGAGAGAAAGAGAGAAGGAAAGAAAGAAGGAAAAGGAGGAATAATTAACTACAATAAAAGAGAGGGTGAGGAGGAAGGAAAGAAAATTGGAAACAAAGAAAAAGAGAAAAAAATGAAAAGTGGGAAAAAAAAAATAAAAATAAAAATAAAATAAAGAATGTATATAAACTTCTATGGGCTGTGGGCGATCATGGCTCTCCATAAGTTTCTGTCTCCATCTCACCGTTTTGACAACGGTGGAAGCATAGTAATTAAAAACCCGAACCGAATAGCAATACTTCTATATGCAGCGTGCCTTCAGGACGAGGGCGATCATGGCCCTTCACAAATATCAATCCCCAAAAGACGAAACTGTAAAGAAAGAAAAAAAGTGGGAAGGTTTTACCAAGAAAGGTAAGTTTAATTGAAAAAAAAAAAAAAAGCGTTGAGAAATAAAAAAAATCAATAAAAAATCAAACAAAGAAAGAAAATGATTTGCTCCTGTTATTAAAAAGAAATGGAGAGAAAGGTAACGCGTGAGAAAGTAAGAAAGTGAAAGAAAGAGAAAGATGGAGCGAAAGTGATAAAGAGAGGAAATGAGTTACAGGAAAAGAGAAATAGAAGAAAAAAGTGAGTGAAAGAAGATAGTAAGAGAGAGAGAAAGTGATAATGAACGAGGGCAAGAGAGAAAAAGAAATCGAGAGAGAGAGAGACAGAAATACAAAGAAAATAAAGTAAGCGAAAGAAAGAGGACAATTAAGAAAGGCAGTAGAAAAGAGAAAGAGAAGCGGAAGATCAAAAGTGATAAAGAAAGAGAGAAATGAAAGAAAATTAAATGAGAAGCAAAAAGGATTATATATATATATATATATATATATATATATATATATATATATATATATATATATTTTTGTAGACAGCAATCCTTCCTTTATGCATGTTTCATTAAAAACGACAGACAAGGTACTACGGTTGAGCTTTTTATTTAATTTTTCTTGTGTTCTGACAAGAGCTTTCTTTTCTGGACAAAGAGTGTGTAAGAACTGTCCGAATGTTCTGTATTTCCGAGACTAGTGAAAAACACAAATATATTAACTGCATCCACTTGCAAAAAAAGACTAAAAATAATGGAAGCTCTAATAATAAAAAAGAAAAAAGCCAACTCTTAACAATATTAACTATGAACAAAGTCACAATGTGCTAACCGTATTCGGAAACTAAAAACATCACTACCACACACTGAACATACACAGAACACACACACTCTACTAAGCTGATAATTGAATCATCCTTGATAATGGCTAAAAGGTATAGCTGAAAGCGCTCGGAAATACAGAACATTCGGACAGTTCTTACACACTCTTTGTCCAGAAAAGAAAGCTCTTGTCAGAACACAAGAAAAATTAAATAAAAAGCTCAACCGTAGTACCTTGTCTGTCGTTTTTAATGAAACATGCATATATATATATATATGTATATACATATCGTATCCGAGGATCCCCGTCTACTAGCTGATCTCCATTGCAGACGCCTGCTCGGGCACATTTGAGTTTGTTCAACACCCACAAAGTCCACCTGTTTATACTGCAACAATGCTGAGCGTAGCGAGCGCGTCATCTAGCGTGATCAACAGTACGTTCAAACACTCGGTCACGGTAAATTCGTGCCAGCACAACCGTCACTTGGATCAACATGTGGAATGTTTTATTGAGGCACCTTCCAAAGGTTCCACACGCTGGAATCTCCTCCAGACCGATAACATCAAGAAGTCAGCTTCCTGACAAATCGACGGCGGTCCAGGTCTCGTGGTTAGAGATTCGATCCCGGCCTCGTATATTATAAAGCAAATGTCCTATATATATATATATATATATATATATATATATATATATATATATATATATATATATATATATATATATATAAGTTACGAAGAACTTGGTAAACCGAATGGGTAATTCCAAGGAGGAAGAAATCCTGAGAACTCAATGTGAATACAGAGCTAATATTTAATGAAAAACAGACCACTTTAAGGTACCATTACAATAATTTATTTCACCAAAATCCTTTTTAAAGGACTCCGGATCATCAGGTAACAATTCCAACAACGAAATGAAAGGAAAAAGGATTAGAAATTGATGGGTAGTGTAATTTTTGTAATTTAACATGGGGGTGAGAGTTGTAAAAGAGACAAGGTAGAGTATAGGGAGGTTAATTTCATATTTCTCTTAAGCATGCTTTATATTGGGGTAGGAGGAGGACCGAACCTTGACCTATTTAGATGGTTAACTTAACGGAAATGGTATATAGGAATGGGAGGGGAGTGGGGAGAAAAGAAAAGGAAAAATGGAAAAGAGAGAGGAGACAGACGACAGTAATACAGATATATCCAAATGAGTGTTACGGCAAAGAGAGAGGGGGAGAGGGAAGTGAATCGAAAGAGGCTGTAATTTTGTTTTAACAAAATTATGTAAAAGATGTACTTGGGTCATTCTAATGGTATTTTAAAATTACTCTTTTTAATATTTAATATCACTTTCTCTTTTAATGTTCTATAATTAGAATTTTGAGAGTGTATTTTTATCTTCTGAAGGGAATTTCATTTTAAAATTGATAATTTAAATTTAAATATACTACCTTTTAACTACTAATAGTAATAATAATATTAACGAAATCCTTTAATAATGAGGCACTTCAGAAGTCACCTAAAGTTAAACTTTAACTATAAAATCAAACAAAAATCTAAATAAATTTCAAATATTAAAACATAGGTAATGATTGAGAAATGTATGTATATATAATTTATGTATGAAGATAGATGAACATTTGTGTATATTGTTACACGTGTGTCTATGTGTGTATTTGCACATGTAAATAAACGTATGTATATATGGATTTGCATGAATATGTTTGTGAGATACATATAAGAAGAAAACAAAATCTTTAATATTACCCTTAAATATTATTAAATAATGAAACCTAAACCTTAATTAAGTTTACCCATATAATAATAAAGAAAAATTGCATTCATAAATTAGATTAAAAGTAAGACTAATATAAATGCTATTGTTACCGAAATTTTTTTTACAATATTATGAAGTACAATTGGTCGGGTAAATAAACTATTATAATTTTAAATATTTCTTTAATATGTTCTCGATAAATGTGCTAATAAAAATAGTAGTTAACTTATATTAAGTCCCCAAACTATTTACTTAAAAAATTAAATGTTTAAATTGATAACATTCATCATATTTTAGACATCTAAATTTCTATCAAGCATTGAAATCTATCTTTAACATAATTTTGTTAAAACAAAATTACAGCCTCTTTCGATTCACTTCCCTCTCCCCCTCTCTCTTTGCCGTAACACTCATTTAGATATATCTGTATTACTGTCGTCTGTCTTCTCTCTCTTTTCCATTTTTCCTTTTCTTTTCTCCCCACTCCCCTCCCATTCCTATATATCATTTCCGTTAAGTTAACCATCTAAATAGGTCAAGGTTCGGTCACTCCTCCTACCCCAATATAAAGCATGCTTAAGAGAGATATGAAATTAACCCCTCCCTATACTCTATCTTGTCTCTTTAACTACAACTCTCACCCCCATGTTAAATTACAAAAATTACACTACCCATCAATTTCTAATCCGATTTTTCCTTTCATTTCGTTGTTGGAATTGTTACCTGATGATCCGGAGTCCTTTAAAAAGGATTTTGGTGAAATAAATTATTGTAATGGTACCTTAAAGTGGTCTGTTTTTCATTAAATACACACACACACACACACACACACACACACACACACACACACACACACACACACACATATATATATATATATATATATATATATATGCATGTGTGTGTGTGTATGTGTTTGTAAATATATAGAAAAATATGAAAGAACACGTTATGTTAATAATCCGAACTTCTTTAGTATTTTTGTTTTTATTTTTAAAAAAACAGTGCTCAATACATAAGTATATCCTAAATTATAATTATTTCTTAAAAATATGATTCCATCGCTACATATCATATTTTTAAAAAATAATTATAAAAATAATTATAGTATATATATATATATATATATATATATATATATATAATGGACTCTAACGTCGATGCCTTTTTTTTAATATGGGGTCATCATTTACTAAGTTTAGTTTTTCATCAAAGCTATACATATGAGGCACCCAAGAGGATAGAAATCCCTATTAAATATTAATAGTAATGGCGATATTCGGCATTTATTGACCAAACGGCATTACGTCCGGGAGAAATTTGTAATTAATTTTTCTTTTAAACAGTTTTTCAGGAAAATATGTTTTGCAAGTCCACACACTATTATCGTTCTTTCAAGTATTGATGGGAATTTCCTTCCTAACTGTTTGTTTAATGTAGCGTGGAAATCATAACATCTTGATTTCCCCTTCCAGTTCCGTGTACGATTTTAGTTGTTGCTGCTATTGAACGATTTCAAAACGGTCGTCATTTTTGTTTTTTTATTTGACCGTACGAGATGCGACGAAAGAGAGCCCTTCATTCTCTTCATTCAACCAGACTAGTTCGCTAATCATTACCCAACACCAAGGCATCCATGTATAATATGTTACGGTTTGCTTTCGTTTGGTAAAAAAAGAAAATATAAATATTGTATTTAAAAAAAAAAAAATCTTATCTACCCGATTACACTTCATTTTACCTTGTTCTTGAGCAAGGCGGGTGGTATAATTGCTAGCGGCCCGGAAGTGGTTACCCATGCTCGGAATTCGGATCCAAGTAAAAATCAACTTGAATTTTGATCTCCATAATAGACAGGTCATCAGCTCTGGAAAGATTGTTGTAACAATCTTTTTTTTTTCTCCCAATTTTCCTTCGTTTCGGTTTGCAATGTACGAAGGCCTGTTTTAGTAAATATGGAAAGGAAAAAGGCGAGAAGGAAATGTTGTCAAAACTAGAAAAAAAAACGAAAGAAAAAACGAAATTAAAGCAAAAAAAAAGATGAGAAAAAAATGTATCTTACATATCTATAAGTCTACCGTTCGTCCAGTTAAACAGCAGGGCATCGAACCGTATGTGGCAGCAACATTCTAAGCAATATTATCCAAAAGAGAGACTATATCAAAAGCTATAAATGACAGCAAATTGTGGAGGGTCTTGATCGCCCACGCCCAGAAGAGACATGGAACAGAGAAGATCTATGCAATATGCCATGTGTGTTTTCCCTGTAAACTTTAGCTGTAATAAAAAGCAAAAATATATATGATAAACAAAATCCGACTCTAATTCAAACGGCTGGCCTGGCGTAGCATGGTTAAAATTATTCAGGGTGCACAGATAACACATTGATCCAGCCTCAAACGATCCTCAGACCATAGATTCTATATATAAAGGTTTTATCTCTGATATTAAATCGTCCTGTTCCATAAATATAACATGTGTTAAAGAATATATATATATATATATATATATATATATATATATAAATATCTGAAATGGACAAAGTCCGACAAATATTTTAAAGACATTTTTTATGTTTATAGATACAAATATTTAAGTAAATGCTCTGTTCACAGTACAGTATTAACTACATTTACCGGCCTGAATGTCCGAGAAATTTTCATAGAAAATATGCGTCCTCTGACAGGAATCGAACCTGTGTCCTATACGGAAACGTCATATAGCCTGAAATGCTTTACCGATTTAACCACAGAGGAGCGTTCCGGTTAGCAAGGTCTATTTTACTATATGCATATTACCGTTTGAGCCTTTTATATTATATATATATATATATATATATATATATATATATATATATATATATATATATATATATATATGTGTGTGTGTGTGTGTGTGTGTGTGTGTGTGCAACTGTGTGTGTGTGTGTGTGTGTGTTAAAAAATAAGAACATGTACAACATTCTAGTAATTGTAAAGATTTAGCAAATTTATGTATTTTTGGCTTTAAAAATATAGTTGTAAAAAGATTAAAAATCGTAGAAGGAAAATTAGACAATCAATAAATAAAACGAAAATGAGGAAATAAGAAAGAAACCTTGAAAAAAAGAGAAAAAAAAGCACTTATGCTTTACAAAATTAAAAAGCAAGATACATGATGAGAAAATAAAAGGAAAAAAATAAACGCAGAATTTGTCTGGGAGAAAAAAAATGGAGGCATTCAGAAGGAATTGAAAATATGAAAGACAAATGTATTAAATATAATGATTGGTGAATGCAAAGAAAATAAAGAAATGAAAAGATGCACTTGAGTATAAAGAGAAAAAAAAAAAAATTGATAAATGAAAAATAAAAATGAGGAAGAAGCAAGTATTAAATTTAGAATGGAAAACAAGAATAAAAATAATTAAAGCAAGCAAATAGGAAGAAGATTTAAAGAAAGGGTGAAAACTGCCGACGATTTTGTAGAAAAATGCAAAAGAAACGAAGAAATAAATGGAGAAAAAGGTAAAAAGGAATAGGAATGAGAGAAATGGGAAAAAAAAAAGAAATTGGAAAAAAAAAAAAAATTGGAAAAGAAACAAAAAACAAAATAATGAACAGTTTCTCTGCATCAACGAAGAAAAAAGAAAGTGAGTATTAAAAAAGAAAAAAAAATGCAATTGCGGAAGCGAAAAAAACAAATCTACCGAGAAAGCAAATCAGAATCAGTAAACATCTAGGGAAATCAGGGAAAGACTTATTCTCGCCAATGAACGCTCCAACACGCGTTTGCGCATGCGCGTCGAGGGAGCCGGTAGGTTGAGTGACATTACCGTTTCAAAGCGTGCCAATGAAGCAGGTTCGGTTTAGTGCGGATTATTTTGTTGTCGGAGGACTAAGCAGAAGGAAGTGGTGGTGGTGGTTGTCGTAGGGAGGGGTGTGTGTGCATAAGAGCTGACAAACGTAGGACGGATATGGCTCAGCATTGGAAATGGACGAGCGGAGATGATGGGTGAGATGATGTTGGGTTGCACATCTTTGTGACGCAACAGATGTACATCTGAATGGATGTGTGCGTGATATGGAGTCGCTGAGGCTTGCGTTGATTTGGTAAAAAAGAAATAAATAAATAGAATAAAATTTAAAAAAAAAACGATGGAGAAATAGTTTCTTTACTGATTTCTATAAAGGCGCTGGAAACGAAATCAGGAAGACGAACATGTACCGATGATAGCGACCCTCAATCTGAATGAAATGAAATTGAGCCGTTTATTAATTGATGGGTAGTTAGATATTGATCTTTTGGCAGTTATTGGATCGGAATAAACTTATTTCTCGCAATATCAATCTTAAAACGTTGCCCCCCCCCCATCCACGACCCACTCTTGTAGATCTTTTCCCCCAGGGCTCCATTCTTGGCCCTATTCCGTTTTTAATTTTAATTGACGACCTCCCCGATGATATCAGCTCTCAACTTGGTATCTACGCGGATGACATGCCTCGATAGTAAGGCTGATCAGTCCGATAAGGTCAAAATGGCAGCCGATGTAAAGTCCGTCGTTAACAGGGGCAAAAGATGGCTTGCTTGTTAATTGTAACGACTCCAAAATTAAACTTCTTTCCATTCACCATCTGAGAGACCCTTTTCTGCCTTCCATCAATATGGGGGAATGCTAACCTTCAGGAAGGCGACTTGTTGCGCCTTCTCGGGCTCACGTTCTCAGCTGACATGAAGTGCCAAGACAATATTGAATCCATTGCTAAGTCAACTGCTAACAAAATTGTTTCACTGTGTCGGGCGAGACAATGTTTTCCCCCCAGAATCTATCTTACATATGTATAAGTCTACCGTTCATCCATGCTTAAAATATTGCGGCCACATATGGTCCGGTTATCCTGCTATTTACCTTGAGCTCTTTGATAAAAGCCAAAGAATAGTCAGCAATATTATTGGTCCTGATCAGGCAGCTCGGCTTCAGTCGCTTACCCACCGCCGTAAGGTTGCCTCTCTGTGTCTTTTCTAATTGTTTGGATGAGCTCTTAGCTATGGTACCTAGACTTTTTTAAAATTTAAGCGTAGTGCTAGACTGGTGTCAAGATCACATCTATTTACAGTTGAATTGGCTAGATGTAGCCGTAAGTTCTATGCTAACACTTTCTTTTCACGCACTTCCAGTTTGTGGAACTGCCTTCCGGCTGCATGTTTTTCAGCCAAACTTAATCTGCAAAAATTTAAATACAATCATTATCTACTGTCCTCCTGAATACTCTTCTCTCTTCTCGCTCATTATTAATGTTTTTGCTCCTAATTCTTTCACAGCCTGTAACCCTTTGTGTCTTAGTGACTTTATTACCTTTCACGGGGTGATACCGATTAAAAAAATAAAATGTAAATGTCTGCAAACCCCACACGACACTCCGGTGGGTCGTTTTACCAATTTCTTTTCTACGAGGATTATTGGCTGCGTGATGCTATGATTGATTACTTATGAGATCACGGAACACCAGAACCACATTTTTGTCATAAAATTTAAATATTTTTGAATATATAAAATGAGAGTTAGTGTCAATGTAATAGTTGTATATTGGGAATTTTCCGACGACTAATAGATGGGTTGTGTGAGACTCTGCATTGTAAAATGGACTCGGGTACCAGACGACACACCAGGCGTCGTGGGTAATAAATACTATGTGATATCCTTGCTTCATATAGGAAACAATGACAAAACAAAGTCGCGTGTACCAAAATTAATTAAGATGTAGTGTTGGGACCCTGGGACGACAAAGAGAAATGAGGAATGGAAACCAGCGCGTTACAGGTGGCAGGAGACCAATTCGTAACTTGTTCTTTTAGTCTCAGGTGATACTGGTTTGTACCTCAGCCCAAATAAAAAAATAATGTTTCGAATATTAATTTCCAAAGCAGGGAGGTAGACGCCTTCCGCTTAGAAGGTTAGCACAACACAGTCTTTTTAACACGCTTTCCTCGCTTTGCCGGATGATGATGATGATGATGATGATTATGATTATTATTATTATGATGATGATGATGGTGGTGGTGATGATGATGATGATGATGATGAAAGGTATCTCACCGTGCTAATAAGCTGGTGATTAGGGCCAGAATTTCACAAGAAGACATTAATGACACGCTGACGTTTCTCACTTATCATGGATGTGCAGCTGGTGTAATGGATAGTAAATCAGAATGAGAAATCGGAGGGAGAATCGAAAATCGAATTCCAGTTGGTTTCGTTGCATTCACTTACACGGACATATCACCGGGAAAGGCATGAATCCATCTCCCCCTTCCAGCAACAGGCTAAATAGTAAATCTTATAATTGCAATAAAAACATTGTTATTCTAAAAAAATAATTGTTAATGCGATATTCAC